TGTGCCTGTGACTTTGTGAGGACTTTGAAACAAAGCAGCATTTGCGAGCATTTCAGAGGGGCCAAAGCCTTTGTTGGGACATTTTAGGAGGCATCTACCCTGAGGACATGTTATAATCCTTGGTTAATGGGCTCTCAGGCAAAGGGTGGACAAAGCCATGGTCTTAGCAGCCAGTGCCAGACTGTTGTATTTCCAATCTTACCACGATGGGATGTGCAATAGTTACCTATTCATTCACTTAGTCATTCACTTGGCAAATATTTGTTGGGTAACTGCTGTGTGCTGAGACTGGGGGCTGCGGATGAGGGGCCCCTTGAGGATCTTATGAGCTAGACAGAGACGCTAAGTGAAGTCGTTCGCAGAAGGTGCAGTGTGATCAGTGAATCCAGCAAGCCAGTAGTTGTCACTATGGGAACACGGGGGTCAGGGAAGACTTGCTATAGGAGCCACAGTCTTGAAAACGTGAGGGATGTCGGCCAAGGGAGGGGTCATGGGCTGCTTGGGTAATGCACTCCTGGGAAAGGAACAGCAATGAGAATGTATTGCATCCCAGCCAACTGAAGTGCAAAGGAGGCTCGGAACTTGCTAGAGCCACAAAGGTTGCACTGCGACATGATCCCAGAGCCCTGCTTCGCACATTGTGTTGCCCTGCTGTCCACAGAAGGGCAGGGAGAGCGCGAATGCAAGGTCCCAGAAGCTGTGAGGGTCTTCACCGCCTGGTGCAAGGCTGAATAGAGGGGTGTCGGAGGCAGGCTGCGGAGGTAGTGGTGAGGAGCTCATGCAGGGACCAGGGTGAGGAAGACAGTTTTCTCCCTAAGGGCAATGCATAATCACTAAGGGAGTTTTTAGCTGAAGACAGACACAACATGATTAGTATCTTCAAAACCCCTCTTGTGGCTGAGAGGCTCAGATGGTCTGTGAAGCCTGGTGCTTAGCGCTTGGTGATGAAGTGGGCCTCTGGTGGTCTGTCTGTTATAATACAGGCCTCAAATTGGGTGAATGTCTTCAGTCGGCATCAAATCAAAGTTACCCTACAAAAATACCACCGCACACTGGAGTGGCCTCGCCCGGGAAGGGATGAGGTGGTGCAGAACATGCAGGGTGTGCAGAAGGGAGCCTGAAAGTGTATTCCTACACTCAGTGAAGATGCCTGGTAAGAAGGAGAGATCCAAGTATTTAAGGGAAGACCACTCAGCGTGAGGGGGAACAAACCACAGTTTTATTTTCCCAAAGGAAGACTGGACACCCAATAGAGGCGCCATGTTGGAATTTTGCTGGAAAGACCAAGATTCCAGCTAACATTTGAGGGCATCTGTGCCACTCTGGAAGGAGCCGCAGACAAGGGCTGATCTCATGTTTCAGAGCACAGGCAGGTTTGGAAGCTCATCCACAAGCACACTCCTCTCTGTTCAGCAAAGGTCCAGGCCTTTAGGCCACCCGTGTGCCAGACCCCTGGGGACCGATGAAGACTTGGTCCCTTTCCTGAGGGAATGGTTCTTGGTGGGAAGGTACACGTTTCCCAGTCTCTGCACCTACGATCCACGTGTAGGGCAGGGGGTGTGATTAACCCTCCAGGAGGGATCAGCGAATGCTTTGGCTAAGAGAGAAAGGGTAAGCTGTGTGCTTAGGGGGTAAGCAGGCCACGCTCACAGGCACAGAGCCCTTCTTATTGAAGAAAAGAGTACAACAAAGGCACAGAGGTGTGGGAGGTCACAGGATGTTTGAGGAAATGCAGTAGGTATGTTATCTAAACGGATTCCTTGACCAAGGGACTCCGAAGCCGGAGAGGGCGGCAGCGCCCAGATTTAGAAGGTCTACAGCTTGGACTTGGACGTACCGCCCAGTTGCCTCGTTGAGACTGTACATCTAACGGGTCACAATTCTGAGTAATAACTGTGTGCATAATCCTGAGATGCAGGCCCATTGCCTTCCTTACATTTGCTGAGCGATTGCAGACATCTCAAAATTCAGGAGCCTCTGCTGAGAGCGCAGGGCACATTTGGCAGGTCTGGACCGGGAGAGGTGGATCTCGGCCCCTCCACGAATTTGCGTGGGGCTTGTAATAGTTTCCCTTTCTTCCCTGTGGTGGATAACTGTCCTTAGAGCTGACTTGACAAGGTCAGGCCACGGGCAGAGGGCTGTGCCCACCAGTGCGTATGAGAGCCACGGCAATGAGGGCAGGAGAGGTTCGTCTGTCCCCGAAGGGGACATGCACCGGGGCAGCAGAGCCTCTGTGGGCACTCAGGGAAGCGGCGCTTGCACCGACTCCCCACCCTCCCTCCCCTGCACAGATGTGATTAGCGCAGCCCAAATCAGGTTAGCGTCACTGAGCTGAGCCGGGGTAATCAGACCCCGGAGGGGAGCAGGTGCGGGGCTTCTGAGAATTAGAACGAGCTGACTGTAGCTATCTAGAACACAGCAGGCAGGGCCCTGCCACCCGCCAGCCTGGCACGTCCCCCGTGGCAATCTGGTCCTCACGGCCCGTCCACCAGCTGCGTCAGCCCGAGGGGGGCTGGACCGGCCGAGGGCGCTGGGCTCTTTCGTTAGCTGGCAGGACGAGAGTTCATCACACCAGGGTTCATATGCTGATCGGCTCCCGCCCCTCGTGTGTCCATGATCCACCAGCAAGGACTCACTGAAGTCAAGTTTAAAGTACGGATCATAGGCATATCCGACTCCTGGGGCTCTTGAGACTGCTGTATACACTCTGCAAAGCCCCGGGCTGGGCGTGGTCGGTGCTCAGCACACCCACCTCGTCTCCCCTCAACTGAGGCCACACCCAGGACCAGACAGGATTTTACAGAAACTCTCCATGCTCAGGACAAAACCATCAAGAATGAAGGTTTACATCATGGAACCCAAAATTGCATCTTAAGAGACAAGCACTATTGGGGTGCGTGGGTGGCCCAGTAGGTGAAGCACCAAACCAACCAATCCAGAGCCCACACCCCAATCTACCTCCTCTATGGGGTCTTTCACTCCAGGACACTACCCCCCACCCTCGTCAGCTGAGAGTCAGGGACACTGGGACAGCCCCCTTTGCCACGGGGCCCATTGAAATTAATCAAACCAGCCAGCCCCCTACATCCACTCACCCTGCCTCCCGTGTTCCTTCCGGTGGGAACCACAGTAAAGCTTCCCGTCCATGCCGCCCCTCTCCCTCTGCCCGCTGATGGTCGTGGGCCTTCCCCAGGTGGCCCTGCGAGGCTCAGTATGCCCCCACCTCTTGGGGCCAGCGAAGACGATTAGCTATCTTTTCAAGGGTAGTAGCTTTCCAATCTGTTGGCTTCACTGTACCAGAATAATAATAAAATATTTAAAACATTCTGTTCCCTCTCCAGGGCCCAAATCCATTGCTGCCGTGGGCCCTGCTAGAGTCTGGCCAGGTCCTTCTTTGGAGTCACTCCCTGCGGCTGGGCAGGGGACAACTCTGGTCCCCGGGCACCTGCTGTCCGACCCAGGTGACCGTGTGACCAGTGAGCCAGGGCTTATCAGCCAAACCGTCCGGGGGGCAGGCACAATGCATCCCCAGCAAGAACACTTTGATTTTCTCTGGCACATTGGGTTCTCAGGTCAAGTGCAGGTGGCCCTCAGTGAAAGGAAACCAGAAGGGCCTCTGACCAATTCTCAGGTTTACTAGTTTGTGTGGGTTTATGACCTTTTCATCTTCCTCTCTGTTCTCCGGGCACAGAGCACCACCGGGGTATCACTGGGGGCTCAGGAAAGAGCTGAATTGAATTTGCATATCAGGTTGAATGAAAATTTACACTCTTGTCACACTGAGGGAGAAATTTCATTATCCAGATGGTACCGGTGTCGTAAATCAATTAGGCTCATCTGTTTTGTAAACACGGTATGCTTTCCGATCACTGGGAGAGTGATCAGCTCCTGTTCCGTGTTCAGCAAAGTGCAAATTCCTAGAAATACAGAGAAATAAGATGTGGAGGGACACCTGGGTGAGTCAGGCAGGTAAACATCCGTCGCTTGATCTTGGTTCAGGTCATGATCTCACGGTTTGTGAGTTCAAGCCCTGTGTTGGGCCCTGTGCTGACAGTGCAGAGCCTGCTTGGGTTTCTCTCTCTCTCTCCCTCTCTCTGCCTTTCCCCTGCTCACTCTCTCTCTTTCTCTCTCATAATAAATAAACTTAAAAAAAAAAAAAAAGATGCAGAACTTGACTCCAGGAGCCTCACGGGTCCAGGGGGAGGGACAGCCTCGGGTTTGGGAATGGTACCAATCAGACAGTACCTGTGATAGCATCATGTTCCGAGATGCTCAGACAGTGCAAGTGGTCACAGGAATCCAGGCCACATTTCCCGCTTGTGTGACCAGCTGTGCCCAACACTTTCTCGAAACACACCTTTAAAAATTGTTTCCAGTGTTTGTAGGACTTTCTCATGAATCGATTTAGAGCAAATCTTCATCTCTGGGGGTTGACATTCCCTTGGGAGCAGTGCCGTTTAGAAGGAAGGCTGGCATGTGAAAGCTGATGGGTAGGACTCCAGGTCGAACTCCTGGGGTGGCTCTGAGCCACCCGCGAGGCTGTTCCAGGAGAGGCGTGGGGCAGGGTGGTCAGAGCAGAGTGCCTGCTGTTCTGCGGTGCAGTCTGCCACACGCACCAGGCTAAGGTGGAACTCCACACGTCCCATTCACGGAAGCAATGATACGCTGTAACTGTAGTTAATATACAGACTCCTATCGGTACGCTGTCTGTGGGGCCAAGAGCTTGATTCCTGCCCATCGGCACACAGGGAGTCCTGTGCAAATACTGTTTCCGGCCTCACAGCCTAGTTTTCTGTCTTCAGGTGTTTCTCTCAACATGTTGTGAAGTTTCTGGGCACAGACTAAAGGCAGATCCCCAGATTCATGTCTCCAGCTAAGCAGATGCTGATCGAGCACCGACTTTGAGGTCTGGGCTCGATCAGGGGCCGTGGTCATGCGTGAGGACGTTGCAACAGTGACCAACACAAAGGGAATAAAAAGGTCTGCTTTGTACCCTCCAGGTGGTGGCTACCCTGGGGACCACGTCCTGCTGCTCATTCGACAATCTCTTAGAAGTGGGTCCAGTCTGTAAGTACCTGATCGAGTGTTCTTTTGGAATGTGCGCTCAATGTAGGAAGACTTGAGGGGACCTTCTTCTCTGGGCTCCCCTCCTTCATCATATTAGTAACATAAGTCATATCAGAGAATATGATTAGAGGGTATAAGACATATTACAATATATTGTGATATGAACATAATAATAACTTAATATGACGATGGTTTGCTGATTGCTCCTTATATCTGCAATAGTACTCATCTCATTAGCTTGTGGTACACAAACCCAGAAGTTGGCCTAATTGGACAAGAGCTGAGATTGGCTGTGCCTGTCCCTACACACGATCTCTAAGAAAACGCCCTTCCATGCAGTACGGAAGGACTGAAAGATTGCCCTACCCAAGGGAATGAACTCGAACTCATCCAGCAAGCCCCTGAGGCTTGTGTGCCTGCAGTGACTGAGGGTCACCCGTCTTTCAGTTAAGTCTGGAATGTCTTCTCTGGAATGGCCAAAAGCAGTGAAGCAAATGACCTAGCATGATTTAGCAAATCAACACCCAAACCCGGAGAAGATGTCTCTGGAGAAGAATGTGCTTCCTGCACTTTTCAGGGCCACTCTCCCTCCCTTCCCCCCACCCCCCAGCACATAGGTGGGCTCCCACGGATGAGATTTCAGAGAATCTTAAAGGTGAAATGTAAGGGCTATGTTTCTAAAGGTTCCTCCTCAACACGCGGCTCTGGGCACCCCCAGGCCCTGGGAGGGGGTCAGGTGAGGGGGCCCTTCCTCTAGGTAGGGGCATGGGCTCATGAGCCCCTTCCCCCGTCCTCGGGGCATGGCCCCCTACTCCTGCGGCTCCAGGCAGCCGTCGCCCACCCCAGGACAGTGGAAGGGACCATCCATGCAGTCTGGGGTCATGTGGAGGCTGTTCTGGGCCCCCGATCACATCTTCGTGGCCTGTGCTAGAAGCACTCCACCTGCGGGCACTGGCCCCCAGCCCCGCCTGCGTGACCCCGCCTCTCCTATCAGGGACCCCCCTGTGCCCACACTCAGGGAGCTGGTGGCAGCAGTGATGGGTACAGCCTGGTCACAGCACCCTGCGGAGCCGCCCAGGCACCCCCCGCTTCAGGCTGTTGGCCCTTAAGTTTTGTGTCCCCGTCTGTAAGGTGGGGAGGAAAATGACACTTGCAGTCGTCACGTGTCCATGTTTCCCTCACAGGGCTCTGTAGAGGGGATGTTCATGCACAGAAATCAGATGAGACCACGGCTCACAGGTATCACTCTAGCCACCAGGCCGGTGTGCCAGGGACCCTCCATGCTGAGGGGCTGCTGGTGTGGATGCATCCATTCACATGGGCTTTTTCTCTGCCACATGTGACTGGTGGTAGACATCTGTGAGTGCACCTGGCTGAGAACAGTGATGCAGAGCCCAGGGCTATGGCACAAGGGACTTGACCAGCTGGCTCAGGGCTACAGCCACAGGGAATTGGCCTCGTCAGCTGCAAACCCTCATGAGTGGAGTCAAGCTGCTGGGTGCCCCTCAGACTCAGATGTCAGGCTGGGAACGGGAGGTCCTGTCCCGTGTGGGGCCCGGCTGATGTCATCCCCGGGGCTCTCAGATTTAGGGGGTCGAGGGCTTCAGTAGGGCAGAGTCCACATGGCCTGGCTGGCTCCGAGCCCCAGGCTGGCTGGCCGCCCACCAGCCTGGCCAGTCAGTACCGTGCAGGGAAGCTGCATAAGGAAATATACCAGCCACGGAGCTCAAGACGTAGGAAGACTGCCTCTTCCCTTCCGAGTGTATCACAAATCTCCTGGCTGAGGTTTCGCTTGCTTGGGTGCTGGGTGGACTTGTCCTGTGATATGCAGCCCCCATGCCCTGGCCTCAGGGCCAGGTACCGCTGGCCTCTAGAGATGCCCATGCCATCTGGAGGCACCAGATCACATACCAGACACGGGATTCAGAGTTGGTGCTCTTGGCACTCTGCCCCCCACGCCCCCCGCGGACAGAGGAGAAACCTACCTGGAGTCCCCTTTTCTTGGGCACCTGTGATTTCCTCTGCGAGAGTTTTACACCGACTACAGGGACAGGGGATCCTCATCCCTCCGAGACCACCCTGGCCTCTGACACCTCCCAAGAGCACCCTCAGGTTCAGTAATCTGCCGGTAAGACTTACAGGACCCTCTGCAAGCATCTCATGGCTTGTTGCAGGGAGGAGGGGTGTGGGGCACAGTGTGGGGGGCGTCCACACCCTTGTCGTCTCCCGCGAGGTCATAGGTGGCTGGCTTCCCCAGGTATGATGACCGCACACAGAGAGTGAGACCCCCTCCCGCCCCCACCAAGGAAGCTGGTCGAATCTGTGACAACAGAGTTTTCTTGGGGCTCAGTCACGCGTTGCCCACCTGGTGGCCCTCAGTCTCCGGTCCTCCTTCTGTCCCTAGTTCCCGCAGAAGTCACATATGGCCCAAGGCCGCCATCCCAAATCATATTGTCGCACTGTTGGGGACCGAAGACCCAGGTGGGAAAGGACTCCCATCAGGCAGGGCCCTCCAGGGCTAGTGGTCACCTTGCTAGAGCCCTTCTGGAGTGAAGTTAAGTCCCCCCGAACACCTTCACCTGGAGAGCCCCTTCTCTTCCCTCCCGAGGACCCTGTCTGTCCCTCCCTCTGCCCTTCTCTGGGTCTCCGATATATTCTGGAGCAGTAGAGCTCTAGGGACTGGCTTCATCATGGCGCCTTCCCGAGGGCTTGGGGACAAGCCTCCCCTCTGTCCATCCTGGAGGAGACCCGGCTCACAATGCATGGCTTGTGGTTTCTTTTTTCTTTCTTTCTTTCTTTCTTTTTTTAATGTTTATTTATTTTTGAAAGTAAGAGAAAGAGAGAGAGAGAGAGAGGCAGAGAGCGAGGGAAAGAGAAAATCCCAAGCAGGCTCCTTGCTGTCAGTGCAGAGCGGGGCTTGAACCCATGAACTGTGAGATCATGACCTGAGCTGAAATCAAGAGTCAGACTGAGTCACCCAGATGCCCCACGGGATGTAGTTTCTACTCTTATCAAACGGTCCTCTCATGAGGGTGATGGCAGAGAGAGGGAACGAGAGCCCTGTCTGTTGCCACCAGAACCTGGTCCCCACCTCCTACCCTCCTGGCTTGAGTCCTTCCTGACTCGTCTGCCTATTCAGGCCTCGGGGCCCCGCCCTGCCTCACCTCTTCCTCGTCGGTTCTGAACCGAACAGACACACTGAAGTCTTAAACTCCACCGAGGCACCTCTAACACAGAACCAGGTTTCCTCACCAGCCCAGACTGCCCCACGGAGAGCATGGATTGTCTGTGAGGTCCCACGCGTCTCCTGTAAGAGCATCTGCAGTTTCTACCTGCCGACAGCAGATTGAGCCACAGCAACCACTCGAGAAGCACCAGGAACGCGGCTTTGTTCCAGAAGGGCTGAGCTGTGGTTTCTAAGAAGAAATCCCATCCGTCCTGAGGCTTTGCGCTCTCGCTGGCTCGCTGCCGCATCCGTGTGGGGGGGCCGGTGGGGCAGGGAGATGCCCCACAGAGGGGCCAGCCCACACGTCCTCCGCCCACGAACCACACCTCAGGCTGAGCAGACCTCACCCTCATCGTGATCCTCCATGGCAATATCACATGTCCCCGGAGCACTTTGGGTCTGGATCCAACCGAGTGCTTTGATCTCTCTAATCCCTCCAATCCTGAAGCTCAGATGGAATCAAGGTTTTGAAACGCCTCTTAGAACTCGGAGCCACAGAGCTCAGAACTAGCTGTCACTCCTCGCGGCATCGGATGTGGTTAGTGAGCATCACGCATGAAAAAGTGAATGTTGCATCCCTCACTTGGCACAAATGCATTTGGCAGGGGCTGCCTGAGTCTCATGGGCAGGGCCCTGACCCAGTCTGGGCAAGGTGCCTGCTTCCCATCGAGACGCCTCAGCCTTTCATGGTTACCTATTCTGTGATGTGCTAAGTGCCCAGCACACGTGAAGGACTCATCGCGACGATCGCCCTTATTTCTTATGAACCCTCGACTAGGTATCATAATAGGCAGTTACAGATGGTATCTTGTCTGTCCCTCAGGTCATGGGTGTGATTTTCATGCCCATTTGTCTGGGAGGAGAATGAGCTGGAAGGGACTTAAGACCATAGACAGGCCTGCTGGATGGCTGCAGGCAGAGATTGAAGCCACCTAGTCCCCGTTGAGGGAGCAAGTTTAATCAGGACACTATTACCCCTGCAAAGTACCATGAAGTCCCTTCCTGCGAGGCTATTCTGCGGTTAGAAAGCATAAATGGTACCCCAGAGGAGCCGGGGAGGGTTGCAGAGAGCCTAAAACAAACGAGCCTGCTTTGTGTGGGGATGGAGTGGGGTGGAGAGAGGTCACTGGGTCTGCGGACCCAGCTCTGCCCTGAAGACTTTGTGGGGACAGACTTTAGGACCGGCAATCCAGGAGAATGGGGAGCAAGTTCCCAGTGGATGAGATGGTGGAAGACAGAGAAAGGAGGTATAACTGTAATAAAGGAGCCTCGAGGGGTAGGGCGGGCTGATCCCTTAGACCAAGAGCATTGACCTTCAAGTCAAGCAAGGCAGCGGGTCCCATTTCCCTCCCTTTGCACACAGTCACTGAGCACCTCGTCTGTGAGACGACTGTGTGGGGCCAGTTCACGACCTCCACCCTCAGCTTCATTGCCTTCAGACTCAAGGAGCCAGTTAGGGTCCACAGTCGGGCCAGCAAATGCTGTTGGTAGACCGTACGCAGTATGCTGTCAGTCCCCTGTGATAAGGGCATCCATTGGGGAACTCACGGGCCACCTCTGGATTTCAGGTAACAAGGAAAACATGTGGTTGCACATCGATGCTGCCTACGCGGGCAGCTCCTTCATCTGCCCTGAGTTCCGGCATCTTCTGAACGGAGTAGAGGTAGGTGTGTTCTTCACTTTTAAGACAATCGCTGTTTAAATGTGCTACATTATCAGTGACTTCCCCTTGCAAGGATGTGACGCTCCGTTTTTCATTGCTGGGGTTTGTTTCAGCGAACAACTTCCAAACACATTCTATGATCCTCAGAAATTAGACTTCCTTGTGATGGGGGTGGAGAATCTTCCCAGCCCCTACAACCAGTCTTCTCGAAATACACCGGACGTTTACAGCCATTTTTCAGTCTGCACAGATCCTGGGCTGGGTTCTCATGACAGGATAAATGTTAGCTTATAACACTGTGGGGAAATATTTAGGAAGAAAATCAAAGCTCAGTGCATTTCAGATCAAGAAGTAATTTATAGGGGTGCCTGGGTGGCTCCGTTGGTGAAGCATCTGACTTCAGCTCAGGTCATGATCTCATGGTTTGTGGGTTTGAGCCCCGGTTGGGCTCTGTGCTGACAGCTCAGAGCCTGGAGCCTACTTCCGATTCTGTCTCCCTCTCTCTGCCCCTCCGCCCCCCCCAAATAAATGAACATTAAAAAATTTTTAAAAAAGTAATTTATAAAGCCATCCTACATTCCTCTTCGATCTGGTTCAATATGGTAGTCTATTCTGACCATGGGACCGAGCATAGTATTGATGTGAACAGGTATTGAACAAGCAAAATGGCAGATGTGTTTAGATATCTTTTGCCACTTTTGGAAGTTGTTAAAATGTGGCTTGTAATGCCCGCCAAAACACCTGCTGCTTTTGAGAACCAGTAAGCAAAGCTATCGGCCAGCACTCTGCTGCAGAGGGTAACGTGGTACCGACTTGAGGCAAAGACATGACACTATGGATGTGCTCGGATGTGTTATTTCAGACTCAGGGAGGACTTCACGAGCTCAGAGACGCAACGTTCCTCTTGTCCAGGAACGTGGCTATAGATGCGATCAAGGGTCCAGAGAGAGCGACGTTGCAGGGAATCCAGGGCAAGGGGATAGTGAGTCGGTGGAGCCACAGCATTGGCTCTGTGCTCAGAGGCACTGGTTTCCTGAACCCCGGGGCCACGCGCAGTGCAGGGATTAAGGGCCTGGTCTTTGGCATTAGTGACTGCGTGAATCCTCAGCCTTACCCTACAACTAGCTTGTCCCTGGGCACGTTAGTACCCTCTCTACACCCCACAGAGTGGATTTAGCAGCGGTACCTGCTGTGAGGGGGTGTTGTAAGTATCAGGAGTTAATCACATTGAAAGGGCTTAGAAACCAGCGTCTGGCGCACAGCGAGGGGGGTGTGGGAGTTAGATTCCGTTATTACTTTTCACTGTGGCTGCACAGACGGTCCCTCCAGACCCCTCTCCGCTCTCGGCCGTGCTGCCCATTTGTTTGCTAATTACTAATTTGGATTCTCACGTTGCCATAATACCAGAAGAGTGGGTGTCGTGTACAGAATACCGATGTCCCCATCTTAGAAAAGAAACCCCCTTATTACCGATGAAGGAAGCGGGGTTCTGGTTTCCACCTCCTTCGCATCACTTTTGTTATTGACTCACTTGCTCTATAATTGCTTATTGATCACTCGGTACATGCCAGACCTCAGATTCCTCCTGGGGAGGGAGTGGCACGTGGGGCTTCCAAAGGCCCCCATGAGTATTGGGGCGGGGCGTTGCGGCTTATGAGAAATTCTGAAACGATGTTGGCACCCCCTCTCTGCCATTCACTGCCTGTAGCTGGTCTTGTGGCTGTTTGGTGCCGGGGAACGAGAAACAAACCTCTCCACCGTCTCCATACCTCGCATTACAGAGACGGTCCACATCACTGGGGGTCTGTCCCCGCAGCCTCAAGGGACAGAGGGCAAAGCGATCATTGGGGATTGCACAACCTCTTCCCCCTTTGGTGTTTCTCTTCCCCATGAACCCAGGAGTTGGGGTTTTGGCTTTCATGAGGGGTAGTACAGGGGGTGGCCAACTGTCAGGCCACCGAGGCGCTGGGCCCTCTAGCGAGATCCTATCAGCCAGCGGCAGACACGATTTCATGCCCGACACTGAGTCACTTCCATGTCTCCTGCATTGTTCTTCGCCCAGCGAGGGCCTTCCTGCTCAGCCCTGCTCAGCTGGTCAGATAAGGGAGCTGCAATATCCTGTGGGTCCCTAGCCCGAGATAAGAGCCCTTCTCTCCGCCAGCAGAAAGAGCACACAGCACTTGGGTAATGAAAGATGAGTAAACAGACCGGCCCCTCCGGGAGGGAGCTAATAACCTAATAACGTTCTCGGCAAACAAAGCTCCTCTTTCACATTTTGTCTCCTTTTATCAACAAATGAAACCTGTCGTTATTTCCCGTCTCTCTCTCCAAATCACTTTTATTGAAACCTGGAAGGAAATGAAAGTCCTCCCTACCTCTCCCCCACTGGTGGGGGTTGACGCAGCTGAGCAGACATCTCCCCGGTGGGGCGGCACCCACCTGGCCCCTGGCACCCTCACTGCCTCCCCAGGGCTCATCGAAAACAGAGAAGAGGCCAGCGGCTGGGGGAGATTTCAGCTGCCTGTGAGGGGAGTCAGCCAGACGGGGACCTTTATCTCTGCTGCTGCCTTTATCTCTGCTTCCGCTGGGGGATTTATCCACGTGGCTGTGTCCCTGGGCCTCTGGCTGCACCCAGATCTGTGCATCACCCTGGGCACACATGTGGAAGGATGTGAGAACTCGCCACTTACGGTAGCTCAGTGAAAACACAGAGCGCCCTCCTGGGCCAGCCTTGGTGGTTGAAATCGTATTTTCTGATTGGAGATATGGCAGCCCCTGAAATCGATGAACTCGGACATTGCCTTTAAAAACAGAGACAGAGATGTTTAGGTGCGCAGGAAGAGTTGGTGATTGCATTAGCGTTGGAGAAAGAACTAACCCGTGAAATAAAAATTGCGGTGATCCTGATTACTGTAGTTTTCACCCTCCCGTTGGTCGTGATGACATATGTTATTCCGAGAACTTTGCCATTTCATGGTGGTGTTGAGCAAGCTGCTGGCAGAAAGTGTTTCATAGGCCAGATCGATACAATTTCCTGACAGAGCACATCTGAATTAATATTCCGGTTATTCCAAATAGTCTCATCGTTTGAAAGGTAGATACATTTCATTCATTCATGCATTCATTCATTCATATTTGAGGGAGAAAAAGGGAGAGAGAGAGCACAGGCTCATGCACATGCACACACACAAGAACAGGGAGAGGGAGGGGGAAGGGAGGGAGAGAGAGAGAGAGAGAGAGAGAGAGAGAGAGAGAGAGAATCCCAAGCAGGTTCTATGCTCAGCATGGAGTCCGACTCAGAGCTCTATCCCATGACCCCGGGATCATGACCTGAGCTGAAATCAAGAGTCAGATGCTCAGCTGACTGAGTCCCCCAGGCGCCCTGGTAGATATATTTAATATGACTACAGACCAAGCACGTTTGAAAGTGTACCGTCTCATTTTATGAGGAAAAGTCGAACTGTGAGTTTCCCCATTAAAAGTGAGTTGGAGCTCTTGCATTTCAGAGCAGGAGAGCCCCCAGAATGTGACTTGTGTCCCATTCCTGCTGGGGACAGGCATCTTCACAGGGCACAGCAACTCTCTGCGTCCTTTCTTGGGGTTGTTTTCAGATTTCGTGTTGGGAGTCGGCATATTTCGAATGATCCAAGGTCCTTGAAATGCCTCCCTTGTTTCAGATGTGATGGCCCCACACCAAATTAGGATTACCACGTAAATGAAAGGGAGTGTTCATAGGAAGGTTCTAGATTGTCTCATTTTCATCCCTCGTTTATAAATTCTCGTAGAGTTATCGCACCAAGGGCCCTCAGCCTAATGTGGAAGCACTGAGGCCAGAGTCTGGGACTCTTAGTCCAAGGCTCTTTCTGTCCTAAAAAGAATGAGATCCTTCCTGTCACTCTTCATGCAGACACTTTCGGGACATCTGGGTGCCTGGCACCATGTCCCGAGGAGAGACAGAGCGCCTGGTGGGCTCCCCAATGCTTGCCAATCAGCCAACAATCACAGCAAGCACAGCATTCGACCTGGAGAGTTTATCCCATGCTAGGAGCTGGGCTGAGGAATTCGTGGCTGGGATGCCACCATCTCTCCATAAAACAGACATGCCCGTTCCCGTGCACACGGAGTCAGCTGTTGAGCTGGGATCCAACCCCAAGTGCCTGACTTGAAAGCTGCCCTCCCCACGTTGTGCATCAGCCCACAGTCAGCTCCTTAGCACCTGAGCTGCGATTTGTTGTTCCCACTTGAACATGAACATGAAGTGGTGCAGAGAGGTCAGTGGAGGGTGGGGGGTGCCCAAGCGGGTTCCGGAGCCCAGACCCTCCCAGCTGTGAATTACTGCGTTCGGAGTCCTGTTGTACAACTAGACCTTAGTAACGGAAATATCTTCTTTTTGTTATTGCTGCTCCTCGGCAGTTTGCAGATTCATTTAACTTCAATCCCCACAAATGGCTGTTGGTGAATTTCGACTGCTCCTCCATGTGGTAAGTTTCCCTGTCAGCTATGTGTCAGTCATCCCGTGCACACCGCACTTTCCACATGTGGCTTTGTAGGAAAGCAACATGGCAGGTGAGGAGGACGCCATCGCTGGGCCATCTCATGTATCCCCTGCTCACTGCTGCTTCCCTTCTGACCCATGGGTGGAATTCCTGGCCAATCTTACCTGATTGTGAGCTGTTGGCAAGAACATACTAGTGCAGCTGTTAGCACAAGGACAGAAGGTTAATACAGAGAAAGTCTGTAGTTTGATCTACCAAACAGTACCAAACCGTTATCAAAAATGCAAGGACATTTCAGGACATATTTCTAATTCGGTGGCTTCGGTGTCATTATTCATAGACGGTTAATGAGTCTGAGGGCTTAAAAGCATTTGCTAAGGAAAAGGAAAAGTAATCCTTTTCTCCACGAGATTCCCAGAACATCCTTTTTTTTTTTTTAATGTTTTATTTATTTCTAGGAGAGAGAGAGAGAGAGACAGCGTGAGCAGGGGAGGGTCAGAGAGAGAGGGAGTCACAGACTGAAACAGGCTCTAGGCTCTGAGCTGGCTGTCAGCACAGAGCCCGACGCGGGGCTCGAACCCACGAACCACGAGATCATGACCTGAGCGAAAGTCGGACGCTTAACCTACTAAGCCACCCAGGCGCCCCTCCCAGAACATTCTTAATAGCGGTGCCATAGTCGTGTTGGTTCTATTTAGAGCAAGAAAAAGAATTCAGAGGTGAAAGTGGGTGATATTCCATCATGTAGATGATGTTGAAAGAAATAGCAGTCACTGGGAGCGGTGTGGGAACACTGGGTAATGGCTCTGCTACGTTCATTACGCTAAGAAGGAGGTTAATCAGCCTTCTGACCAGAGGGGCTTTGCATGAATTTTGTGCAGAATGATTCGGCATGTAATTGAATGGTTTCTCACCGTGGAGGGGTGAAGAAAACACTTCTCCCCTGACCCAACTGAACTCTGTTCTTCTGGTTTACTGAGCGACCAGTGTGCCCTTTGACTAGTTTGTCGTAAGACGAAACTACAATTTCAGTGCTTTACTGAAAAATCGGTTCAAATCAATTCTTTTCGTCAACCTTTGACCCAGGCTTTGATGCGTGATTTTACAGCCCCATGGTGGGCCCATTCTAGATGTGGCTTCGTCCGAAATACGAGTAAGGATCTATCTAAGCTATAGCTCTTATGAATCTTAGTATTCTTTCGTGCTCTTGTGGCCGTGTTTGTCTATTTTAAGCGGAATGCTTGAAGAATGGTTCATATGGTGAGTCCGCGAAGCCCGTCTTTTTGAGCTTTAATTGGGACTGAGATGTAATTCTGTTCTGCTGGTGTGTTTGGTCAGATTGTGGCTTGTGGGCACAGAGCCAACACGGAGCCGGTAGGGGCCCTGCCGCCTTTGTTTAGGGAGGGGTGGTGGCCTTGGTGTGAGCTGATTCAGGAGCACACAGGGTCCTTAAGCTGTCAGTGAGGCAGCGGGCCAAGAAAGCCAGACAAAAAGGCTGGACGGTTGTGGGGGGTAAAGTGAGGGGAACCAGGAGGGCTGCCAGGAGGTGGCGGCTGTAGGGGCTCACAGTGTGCCCAGGTGTTTTACTCATTACCTGGGGAAAATAATAATATCAGATAAGTGTTTAGGGTGGGCAGCCCTCAGCACCCTTTCTCTGACATAAATCACTGGAGCTCCGTGGCATCGCAGCCACCTCTCACACATGGGGAAACAGGCTACGAGGGACCAAAAGCACTTGGGGCCATGACCTGTGACCAAACGCTGAGATGCCATAGGAATGAATGTAATAATGTGGCAACCTGCCCCTGGGTCCAAAGAGCCAGCAAGGCAATGAAGGACAAGAGAAGACAGCTCCATCAGCGGCAAGGGTGGGAAGGGTCCGAACCCCTCACGGGTGTGACCAGGCTGCCGGGGTCACTCAGGAGCAGATGTAACAAGAGCATCCTGTCCAGTTCAGGCACCAGCCCGTCAAGGGAAGCCTGACAGAGTGGACGTGATGAATGGATCAAGAAGATGTGGTTTCTCTATACCATGAAATACTACGTGGCAATGAGAAACAATGAAATCTGGCCATGTGTAGCAACATGGATGGACCTTGAGGGTGTTATGCTGAGCGAAATAAGTCAGGCAGAGAAGGACAAATATCATATGTTTGCACGTATAGGAGGATTAGGAGGAACTTGACGGAGGACCAAGGGGGAGAAGAAGGGCGGAAATGGTGGGGGANGGGGGAGAAGAAGGGGGGAAATGGTGGGGGAAAGGGGGAGAGGCAAACCATGAGAGACTCTTGAATGCTGAGAACAAACTGAGGGCTGATGGGGGTGGGGGGGAGGGGGGATGGGCACGGAGGGGGGCACTTGTGGGGATGAGCACTGGGTGTTGTATGGAAACCAACTTGACAATAAACTATTAAAAAAAAAGAAAAGAAAAATGAAACAATGAAAAACAACACACAAAAAATCAAATAAAGGATGCTAGATCTTAAAAAAAAAAATCCATGCAGGAAAGTGGACACGCATTTTACAAACATATCTCATAAATAAGAGGCATTAGAATTGTTTAGGTGGAATCAGAAGAAATTGGAGACGAGTGCTGGGTTTTTGGTGTGAATGAGGCAAAATCGGGCCCCATCGTGTTTCCAATTTTGTTCAAGTTGATCCCACTTTCGAAAATAGTCCTAGATTTTAGCCCAGGCAGGGACAGCCCAAGGCCAACAGGAAGAGGTGGACTGAAGCCTCCCTCCCCTGTTTGCCCACCTGAGCACACTCTCCGCCCTGTTCCGAGGTGGGCGGTCCCTCTCCGAGGTGGGCGGTCCCGCTCCGAGGTGGGCGGTCCCGCGCCGAGGTGGGCGGTCCCTCTCCGAGGTGGGCGGTCCCTCTCCGAGGTGGGCGGTCCCGCGCCGAGGTGGGCGGTCCCGCGCCGAGGTGGGCGGTCCCGCTCCGAGGTGGGCGGTCCTGCTCCGAGGTGGGCGGTCCCGCGTGTTCTTGGGCAACCTGGTGACAGCCAGCGGGCAGACAATGAAGGCTGAGAATCTGCTCAGAACCTTCTGCAGACTGTCCTGAACATCCATGGACTCAAATATATATGTTTTGCTATTCTAAGACGTTATTGCAGCAAAATGAGGTATCAACACAATAGAATACAGGTTAGGGTTAGGGTTAGGGTTAGTGAGGCCCGTAAAAACCAGATTTCGAAAGGGACAGGCATCCCTTTAGACCCCCCCATGAGTCAAAAGCAAACAAACAAATCATCCTAAATTGTGAATTTTTTTATAGATGTATTTAAATTTTTTGCTCAGATGACAAGTAAGATATATAAATGGTTTTTTTTTTTCCTGGATTGCTCTCACTGGCTGTTTTGTAGTCCTTAAAATCGGAAGAGTTTCTTTTTTGTTTAATGAAATTTTACCAATGGTTAGTCTGTAATTTAAAGTAAATGCATTGGTTATTTTCTCTAAATATTGAAATGGACAAGATAATTGGAGTTTCTAAGACCTGGAAGTCATTACAAGTGTGGTGAATACACTTCATAATGATTTCATTATTCTGTTCATACATTTTTTTATTGTTCATTTGGTGTTTTGAGTCTTTTATATGTAAATATGAGCCACTCTGCTCAGACCTCACTATCTCTTTAACATCAGATTTTTCTCCAGAGCAAGCCTTGGATTCACCGGGACGTGTTTTACTCTAGCTCTAAAAGGACGCTTGATGTCTTTGGCAAATAAAAGTTAAATTTTATCACAAATAGTTTTATAGCTTTTGCACACTTCTGTTACACCGGGTTTCTTCTGAAATTCAGGGTCTTCGGAAGATCATCAGTCACTCTAGTTCTGGGAAGACTTTAGAAGCTTTAGTGCGCCATTTTCTATGTGTCTTTTTGATTTCTTTGCACTTTGGTGCCCTTTCACATCTTGAAAGCTTTTCTCAGTCACCGGCTGGCACCAGGATATAACATGAGCCCTCATTCCCTGAGCCTTATGCAGTACGGTAGGTTTAGAGACAGATGATGTCCCCTTCCCTCATCCCATAGGACCCTCTCTCAGGAATGCGTCTGGTGACATGGAGACAGTTTCTGTCTCCCATGAGTCCCATTCAGCAGGAAGTGACATGGCTGCCTTCACAGGCCAGTTCTGCGTGTGCCACGTGTGCCCGAGTATGCGTGTGTGCAAGGGAGTGTGCAGGTGTGTGTGTGTGCTCGCACATATCTGTCGGTTTAAATAGCCTTCCTTTTTAGAAACCATTTTAAAAACTTTTTAAATGTATATTTATTTTTGAAAGAAAGAGAAAGAGGGTGCGGAGGAGCAGAGAGAGGGGGAGCCACAGAATCTGAGGCAGGCTCCAGGCTCTGAGCTGTCAGCACAGAGGCCGACATGGGGCTCGAACTCACAAACCGTGAGATCATGACCTGAGCTGAAGTTGGACACTTAGCCCACTGAATCACCCAGTTGCCCCTTAAAAAATTTTTTAAGTGTTTATTTTTGAGAGATCAAGCACAGAGGAGGGGCAGCAAGAGAGAGGGAGACAGAGGATCCAAAGTGGGCTTTGTGCTCATAGCAGAGAGCCCAATACAGGGCTCGAACTCACAAACTGTGAGATCATGACCTGAGCTGAAACCATAAGCTGGATGCTTGACTGAGACACCCGGATGCCCCAACCTTCCTTTTTTTTTTTTTTTTTTTTGTCTTTTTAACCAAGAAGCTCTCTTGTATTTATTTATTTTTATTTTATTTCATTTTAGAGAGAAGGAGAGAGTGCATGATCAGGGGAGGGGGGAAGGAGGGGAGAGAGAACCCAAAGCAGGCTCCACGCTCAGCATGGAGCCTGATACGGGGCTTGATCTCCCAACCCTGGGATCATGACCTGAGCTGAAATCAGGAGTTGGGCACTCAACCAACTTGAGCCACCTAGGCGCCCCTAAATAGCCTTCCTTTTGCAACAATGTCAAATATCATGCCCAACGTTGCCTACGAATGTCCACAGTCAATAGCCACATAAAGTATATGAGCAAAACCGAATCCAGAATAAATAAAAAGCCCCCCCAATCTTACAGCTATTAAAGACAATTACATACAGCTACTTTAACATAGCTTTATTCGATATAGTTATTAAATAATTGTCAGAAGTTAAATTTTTCACACAACAAAAGCATCCAAATTCTCCTAACAGCAAACTCAACCAGGCTGTCAAGCTATGTATCAGTCTGATCATAAATGTACTTCACAGAAAACAGCAAGAAGGGCACATTCCTGGTGTCATAATCATGAGTTCGGGCCACCTTGGATTCCAAAATCAGATGAGAGGCTGAGGGGAAAAAAAGCGCAGAGAAAGAAAACAAAGAAAGAAAAGCAGTTTGCTTTGCTCACAAATTTAGATGTGAAAATTTTGAAGTCAAATATTAGCATATAAAATTCTATGATGTTTAAGGAATACAAGATAATATATTATGACCAAAACTGTTTTTGGTCAGTGTTTAATCCAGCTATTCTGGGGTAGTTTACAGATATTAGAAGGTTTTGAAATGTCAGTTGCCCTGTGAAGAGTCAAGGAGGGAAGAGTCATTGCATTAGATGCAGAAAAGGCATCAGGTGAAATTCTACATCCCCGCAAAACAAAAATCTTTAGTAAAATAGGAACAGAAGGGAACTTTCTCAATCTGATGAAGATATCTATAAAAAAGATTACAGGAAACATATTCTTTTTTCTTATGTTTATTTATTTATTTTGAGAGAAAGAGAGAGAGAAAGAATCCCAAGCAGGCTCCACACCCGGATCAACCTCACAGACTCTGAGATCATGACCTGAGCCAAAATCAAGAGTCAGACACTTAACCGACTGAGCCATCCAGTAAGCCTATTCTTATGGTGATGTATTAGAAGCTCTCCCTTTAAGGTCCTGGAAAAGTAAGGATTCCTATAATTCTTGTTCTGTTCAACATCTATTCTTCTAGCCTGCATAGTAAGAGACATAAGGAAGGAAACGTAAGGGTTAGAATGGAAGCCATAAAACTCCCAAGATTGTCAGAAGATGTGACCACAATAAAAAAAAAAATCTTCAATTAAAGTATTAAAAGAGCACAACAGGGACACTTGGGTGGCTCAGTCGGTTATGTATCTGGCTCTTGACTTCAGCTCGGGTCATGATCTCATGGTTCCTGAGTTTGAGCCCCATGTCCAGCTTGGTGCTGATAGTGTGAAGCCTGCTTGAGATTCTCTCTCTCTCTCTCTCTCTCTCTCTCTCTTCCTCTCCCCCAGAAGGGAGATTTATTTATTTATTTTTGAGAGAGATGGAGACAGGGTGAGCGGGGGAGGGGAGAGAGATGGGGAGAGAGAGAATCCCAAGCAGGCTCTGCACTCTCAGCATGGAGCCTGATGCAGGGTTCGAACTCACCAACCGTGAGATCATGACGTGAGCCGAAATCAAGAGCCAGACACTTAACTGGCGGAGCCAACCAGGCGCTCCATGATGTGATTTATCTTTAAGCAACTCAGGTTTGTGTTACACTTAGAAACGTGCCAAACAATACCCTAGGGGATGAAGGCATTTGAACAGAAAGTTCTGTAGAGCTCTCTGGGAGTGGTGGACAGACATGCTGCTATGTAGCCTCCCCCTGGGATGGCGAGGGTAGGCAGTCGCAGATTCAACAGTGCAGGGGTTTTGTGTCACAAGCAGTGAGCTGGATATATTATTATTTACACCGTTTTGCATGGCTTTAACACCGCGCAAATGTTTTGAATAAAAGACACAGGCTCCTGGGTGATCGCTGGCCTCAGTGGGAAGGAGAATGTGATCTTCATTTACAAAGGACAAGAGTTCTACAGACAGCAAGAAGCCTTTCTACCCCTTTCTCTCTGGCTGCCCCTCTTTAAGGCTAAGCATAGAGCATTTCCCAGTACAGAGAGACCAGAGAAAGCTCCCCCAGGGCTCCCTCGTACACAGCCCAGGATGCACCAAAATCCCTACATACCCATGCGTAAGGTCAGCGCAATCTGTTTTCTTGCACAGGTCAGAGGCGAAGCCAGCACAGCTTATTATTGCTTACTGTTGTAGTCTGCCTCTTAACCCTTCGAAGAAATAACACTTCAGTTACTTTTCCTAAGTAAATATGGGCTCGTTGTCCTTCCTCGTTGGTGAGCCACATCCTGGACGGGCTATTTCATGCTTCCTGGTTTTATCTCCCAGGGACTCACCCACACGATATTTGCTTTCAAGCCCAAGGTACGGCCAGACTGATGTTTCTTCCCCAGTTTGCCCCTAGAATGGTCCGTTTGCCATAAAATTGCTTTGAGATGGTGTCCACGCGTCCAGATGAGGCAGAGAGATGACCTCAAATCCCAGCCCGGAGGGGAGTTGTGACCTGAGTTACTCGGGACCATCCCGGGTGCTGAGTCTGAGGATGGTTCATGGTGGTAACGCCTTGTCACTCTCAGCCACGCTAGCGATGCCTGCCAGTGGCCGGGTGCCAGGCCTGGACCGACAGAGGGCAAACACACTCACCCGTTGGGTTTCGCCTCCTGTCACCAGTTCACCAGCTCTCCGGACACCAGCTGGGCGTCCCCTCGGGGGACTGGTTCTGACACTAACTAGAGTTCCCACAGACCCCACAGGGAGAGGGATGTGGTCCCACAAGTTCCCAGGGTCCCCGCACTTCTGTCCAACTTGCTGTAAAGTTTGGGGTGCCCTTGAGCCCCCCACTCCTTCAGACTCGATAATTTGCTAGAATAGCGCAGAGCGCTCAGGGAGCCCCCTGACTTACATTCACTGATTTATTATAAAGGAAACGAGTGGGGAGCGGGTGGCTAGACAGAAGGGACGGGGAGGACAAAGGATGGGGTATGTGTAGAGGACACAGAGCCTCCCTGTCCCCCCCCGGGTGTGGCTCTGTCCCGGCACATTGATGTATCAGCAACCGCGTCCTTCGCCACGTAGGCAGAGTTGATTGAATCATTGCTCATTGGTGGTTAATTCAGCCTTAGTCCCTCCCTCTCCCCTGACCCCCCAGAGACTGGGGGTGGGGCTCAGAGTTCCAGCCTTAAATCTCCTTGGTTTTCCCAGCAACCAGCCCCCAGGGGGCCCTGAGGCTCCCCGGGGGGGTTTGGGGGGGTCCTCTCCTCGGCTTACAAAAGCCATTCTTAACCCTCCAAGAGATTCCAAGGGTTCTAACAGCTGTGTGCGAGGAGCCAGTGATGGAAGGCAAATGTTGATGTTTCATTATACCGCCCCGTCAGGTGCTGGCGTTCTGTGGGTGTCGGGCACACAGGTGAGGGACACGCCGGCAGAGCGGGGTCCCGGGGGAGGGTCTGCGCTGAGCGAGCTGGAAGAGGGACCAGGAGGGATGGGCCACAGGGGCTCTTCCGAGCGGCTTCCTCATTAAGCCCCATCCTGTGTTCTCTCAAACTAGGGTGAAAAATAGGACAGACCTGATAGGAGCCTTTAAGCTGGACCCTCTCTACCTGAAGCACAGCCATCAGGACTCAGGTAGGCTTGGCGCGGGGTGGGGGGGGGGGGGTTCCTGCTTTCTCGCTGTCCTGGTCTTGTCCAGGGGGTGCGGAGGGGGCCTTGGGCTGCCTTGGGGGTGAGGGGCGCTCCAGAACTGCTCAGCTCAGCGCAGGAGCCAGGGGCACGGCTTTCAGTGCTGGTGCGGACAACTCCAGGGTAGCATCTTTAAAAAGAATGATTGCCCTCTATCTCTCTGAGAATGTGCATCGGCTTATACTCACACCATCAGGGGGAAGGGAGGCTGGGGTGCTGGTGGCGGTGGGGAGCTGGGGAGGGAGCTGGGGGTTCTGGAAGGGAAGGGAAACCTGGATGCCTCCAGGGCAGGATCCACACAGCCATGTGCCTCTTGTCAGTTGGGCTTGCAGACCCTCTCTCGTGCAGGGTGTGAGCCACCTCCATGCCTGCAGAGTCCGGGGCGGGGGTGGGGGGGGCTGGGGGTGGTGATGTTGCTCCGAGGCCACAGTGGGGCTCAGGGTGGTGAGGAGATGCCGGAGGAATTTCTCCAGAGCCTCCTCCTGAAATACCTGTCATGCAACACAATTCCTAGAAAATGCAAAATAGCTCCTTTGTTTTCATTTGAGAGAGAGAGAGAGAGAGAGAGAGAATCCCAAGCAGCCTCCATGCTAAGAGCAGAGCCCAACGTGAAGCTCGATCCCACAACCCTGGGATCATGACCTGAGCTGAAATCAAGAGTCAGACGCTCACCCAGCTGAGCACCCCCAGGTGTCCCTCTCTGAGATTCTTATCAAAGAACTAAGAATCGGATATTGAGAAGAATGATGCCAGCAATACAAAAGTTGTTTTTTTAATGCATGGAATGAAAGCTTTCCAGATGTAAATACTGCTTACAGCTGGATGGTATCATTCCTTGTGAATTTTCTTAATTTCCTCTACATGTTGGCAGTTTTTTTTTTTTTTAATTTTTTAACATTTATTTATTTTTGAGAGAGAAAGAGAAAGACAGAGAGACGGACCATGAGCTGGGAAGGGGCAGAGAGAGAGAGAGGGAGGCACAGAATCCGAAGCAGGCTCCAGGCTCCGAGCTGTCAGCACAGAGCCAGAGGCGGGGCTCGAACCCACAAACCGTGAGATCATGACCTGAGCCGAAGTCGGATGCTTAACCGATTGAGCCACCCAGGCGCCCCACCATTTTTGTAGTTTTAAAAACACACTTAGAACTATGACTTTTAAATGTCGGTGTTCTCAGGTGCAGTGCAGACCCTCACCCCTTTGATATTCACAGTTTCTACATACCTGCTCCGTTTTGCTCAGGACCTAAAACTACCCTAAAAAATAAGGTCTGGTTTTTAAAAAATTGAATTGGCCTGAAACAGTGTGAAATTATGGACCAACTTCCAAATGCTTATATTTAAAAATATATATTTCATGTTTGGATGACGAAACTCTTTGCAGCCATGACAGTTAAAAAGCAAAATGTAGCCCTTAAACCGTGAAGTGATTCTTGGAATGAGTTTAAGCCAAGGGCATCTGAGGAAAGCCCACTTCTCTAGACAAAAAATTATTTTATTCCACTTTTATAGAAAGGCTGTTTCCTATTGAGATCTTGGCTATGGCTGTTAGAGATGAATAATATTAGTTATTTGGATTCTTTCCCTTAAAAAAAAAAACAGGAAAACCTCTCTAAGTCAACAAAAACAATGTCCCATTTTGCGTTTAACAAGTAGATCATCAAAAATCAGCTTTGGGCTTTAATGGCCAGTGGATGTAAGGGCTTATTTGTCAGGGTCGCTAAGCCCTCTGCTCCTTGAAATGAAACCTTCTTTAGAGCGTTTTATGGTTCTTCCTGTTCAACAAAGCAGTCTCTTCTTTATTTAATGATTGAAAAACTCGCTCACGACTGCCCCGTGGCTCCACTCAGCTCGCAGGACCACAGCGGCCCGCTGTCCTGCCTGGGGGTCATTAGGATGTCTTCCTCTCATCACTGGGTCCAGGACAAAAGACCTCAGTGACGTCTTCCCAGGTCTCTGCACTTAGGCCAATGCCCTCCCGTCCCTTCACCCTTGTGGCTCCTTCACGGCACGTGACTCTCACGCAGTGGGAGAGCCACCTGCTCTCTGGTTTGTGACTATCGTCCCTCTGCCCCGTTGGAACCTGAGCTCCAAGTGTCCTTCTGCTGGGACAGCAGGGTGGGCGCGACTGCCGCTCATGTACATCCCTGCAGTTAAGTCATGCGTCGTATGAGTTTGTCTCATCGGTGCCTCCAGCTAGGGGTAGACCTTGAACTAGCACCAAACTAGGGGATGGCTTTTTATACACATGGCAGACGGCCCCGTCACAATGTGGGTGACAGGGGAAAGTGGCCGCACCTGTTACACACGCTTTTCAGATAAACTCTTTCATTACAGAAACTGTACATTTGGAAACTCGAAGCGTATGGGGGGGCGGGGGGGGAGCAGGAAGTCCTCATGACCACACCCCCCAGTGCAGCCACTGTTGTCACCTGGTCCTGTTTCTTGCCAGTCTCACGTGTTATTTATTTATTTATTTATTTTGGTGCCATTTGCAAATTTAGAAGCTGCTCACCCCATATGTATCTTCTGTACTTGTAAAGACTGAGCAGGCACATAAAACTTATTATTTGTTTGGGGTGCCTGGGTGGAGTCTGACTTCGGCTCAGGTCATGATCTCACGGTTCGTGGGTTCGAGCCCCGCATCGGGCTCTGTGCCGACAGCTCAGAGCCTGGAGCCTCCTTCAGATCCTGTGTCTCCCTCTTTCTCTGCCCCTCCCCTGCTCATGCTGTCTCTCCCTGTCTCAAAAATAAATAAATATTTTTAAAAATTTTTTAAAGCTTATTATTTATTTATTTTGGGGAGAGTGCAAGCAGAGGAGGCAGAAATAGGGGGACAGAAGATCCCAAGCAGGCTCTGTGCTGACAAGCTGGCAGCGCAGAGCCCGATGTGGGGCTCGAACTCATGAACCTCAAGATCATGACCTGAGCTGAAGTCGGGCATTCCACTGATGGAGCCACCCAGGTGTCCCAAAGAGCTCAGTTTTTAATTGTATCTCATTTTAGTGAGATTTCAGTGGCCACACGTGGCTAGAGGCTAAGGGGATGGCACAGTGATATAAACTAAAAGGAAGGGCCATTCATCTTCGCACACGACATCATCCGGCATCATCTGGGTTTCTAAGACTCTTACTGAGTGCTCCTTATGTGCCACGAATATTTTGGGTGCTGTCGTTTGATGTCTGCTGGTGTCTTGCGTCCCTGCCGGGTCACTTCAGGTGACCCTGCTGCTGATGTCTGACAATCCCGTTTCATGTGGTGCAGAGAGCAGTGGCTGGGAGTTGACCCGGGGTGTGCGGCTCTGGGCTTCCATCTCAGGGTCCCTCCTAAGGTCGAACCTAGCACAGTGGCCCTGAATGTTGTCCCATCCCTATCATCTTATGGCCCTAATTAAGATGCCTGGTGTGTCCAGATGGCAGTTAAAGAGTCAATAATGAGCGGCCACTTTAGATTTCCTTGCAAGTATAGTGTAAAGCCGTCTACACGGCGGATGCAGAGCCGTCTTTGAGGTGGGCGTGCATTGCATCAGGTCTTGTCCCGCTGCTCCGCGGGGCTGTGGCCAGGCAACCGTTGCTCCTACTTGGGAAGTGGGGGGACCCTGATGAACCACAGCCATGCCTTGTCTGGACTACGTTAGAGGGTCAGATGCAGAAACACGGGGCTGTAGTGCATTTTCGTAATTAGATCACCATGTAGCAAACCCCGTGTGTGAGATTCTTGGTCCCCTGTTCTGTCCTCCAGACAGTCCTTGGCTTTACTGCTTTAGACACAAGGGGAGACTGAACACAAACCAGACATTCATTTTATTTATTTTTTATTTTTTTGTATTAATATTTTTAATGCTTATTTATCTTTGAGATAGAGGGATAGCATGAGCAGGGGAGGGGCAGAGAGAGAGGGAGACACAGAATCCGAAGCAGGCTCCAGGCTCTGAGCTGTCAGCACAGAGCCCATCATGGGGCTTGAACCCGCAAACTGTGAGATCATGACCCGAGCCAAAGTCAGATGCTCAATAGATTAAGCCCCCTAGGCGCCCCAAAAGTTAGATTCTTGTCTTCTATCCTACTCACTCTGTATATCACAATTCACCTTCCCATGCATGAATGAGTGCACGAGCAAGGCTTTACAAGCTCCGAATGCCGACTTACTGCTGGGCACCAGAAGAAAGCTCTGATTTTGTGCTTCCGTAACCATAGAAAGTGAAGCAAATGGGAGCCCACTCGTAATCCAGCATTTCCAGTTTGTCCCGGGAATGCTGCTGTCCTGGAAAGCCCCTTGGATCTGGTACCTTGGGAAGTGCCCCCCGCCCCCAAACACCCAGCCTCTGCCCTCCATGGTCTCATGTCTGGTGCAGGAGGTGACAGATGGGACACAAGAAATTTACCTTGAGAATGAGAAGGAAGAGGCATGTAATCAACCATGTGTCTGACGGCTTCCTTTTTCTCTTTCTTCCTCTTTTCCAGGGCTTATCACCGACTATCGGGTAAGTGGGAGATTTGGCTTGTTGAGTCCGGGTCTCAGGTAGTCGAGAGTGTGAACCCAGAGCTGGGTCCTGCCGTGGGCTGTAACCCCGGCTGCTCCCCCCTGTTCACCTCAGGCTCAGAGTCACACGAGAGGACACCTTCTAGCTGGGTCCTAAGCCAGGCAGCCGACAGCTGTGCTGAGCCCACCAACTCCAGGTGTCGAAATCAGGAGGAAACGATCTTGCCTGCGCCCCTGGGAAGGAGGCAGGAAGCTTTGCGCCCAGACTCCTCTGTAGGAGCAGGTGTTCTCCTTAGATCACATGGTCCGTGTGCTCAGCGGGCCGCAGCGCTCCTGGGGCGCACACTCTCCCCTTAGGGCAGTGGGAGATCAGAGCCAGAGACCACAGCGGGGCTCTGATGGCCCCTTCCTCAGCCGGCAGCTGTGCGCGTCTCTGGCAGCTTCCCAGAGATGAGCGAGGCCCCGTGCCCCCTCCCGGACCCCCAGGCTCCCGAGGGAGACAGGGGCACAGATGGCCATGCACGCCAGCGTAGCCATTCGGCACACCGCTGCCAGCCGCCGGGCAGAGACAGATCTGAAACACGCTGCTCCTTGCTGCTGGCTGTTCCTGGCCCCGGGGAGAATGTTCCAGTTCCTCAGAGGGCGCTCGGTGGGTTCCACTTGGCTTCTCCTTCTGCCATTTCTGACACGTTATGAGAACGCTCTGGGTTGGGCCACCTGCCGTCTGGGAGGGGCCTGTGTCCAGGCGGGTGGGCAGCACTGTGGCCGCCGTCCCCCCGGCTTGCGAGGTCGTCTTGGATAATCATGCTTTAGGTCCTGCTGCGCCTCCAGGAAGAGCCAGGGGGACGGCACACAGTGTATTCTCCGCAGGTGAATAAGAGGATCAAGTTCACGGGGGAGCAAATGAGGAGGGTGGGGAAACTGCCTTGGAGCAGAGCGTCCTCTAAAAACGGATGCGCCTAAGCAAGTCCTTAGAATATCATCTCCCCGAAGTAGGAGAGGTCACACGGGGGCAAACGCACGGCATTCCCGCCAGGAAAGAGTACGCAGGTCAGTGGCAGCCTCAGTAGGGGAGTCTGTGTCTGGGCCCTGGCTGTGCAAAGGGCCTGGGGCACTGGTTTCTCCCTGGTGGTGGTGTTCTTTCCATTGACTCCTCACAGGTAATGTGTCACCTGCATCCCACTGACCCTCTCTCTGTGCCACAGCCCTGGAGGGCCCCTGTCTGTATTGTCTGTTCATTTTACTGCTATCTTAGCTAGAATGTAGGGATATCTGTCCTTTTTGATGCACATATAGGTGCTTCTGGAGCTCTTTTATGGTTTCTTCCTTTAGAGTGAATTCGGGGCAAATGCCCTGGGGCCCCGGGCTGTTCTTGACGAGGGAGTGCTGGGCTCAACAGATGAAAAAAAAAAAAAAAGAATATCACAGACATCATCACCGTTTTGTTCAAAGATGTTGGAAACTTCAACCCGAGGTGGTCGCAGCCTCCAGGCTGCGGAGGAGACCCCTGGGATTCTAGGCCCGGTCCCAGGCCAGTCCAGGAAGTACGGGGTGAAAGGCATGAGCAGCCCCCAGCAGGACAGTCAGCCCTCAAGGGATGCGGGCACAGGGCACACTCAGCACCAGGAGGAGGGCTTGGGACCACCCTGGCGAAGGGGGTTTTCCATCATGCCTTCTTGTGAATGACCGAAGAGGCAAAGGTAGTCACATTTACATACAATTTACCTGGTCTTAGGTAAAGTGGGCCATCATCATACCCATTTCACAGATGTGGAGACAGAGGTTTCAGGTCAAATAATCTGCAGAACCTAATTAAGAGTGAGCTAGATCAAAAGCTCACTCACTGAGCCTCACAACCCCCATGCTATCCGAGTGAGGAAAAGACATCTTCTGGTCCGTTTTGGTGGCTTGTGAAGAGTGATACAACATATGGGACACCCCGGAATAAGGTTTTAAAATTTTCAGTTGTGGAGGGAAAAGTACCCAGAAATAGCTCCTTTGGTGCATTGAATACTGATTGACTTCTACATGCAGAATCATTTTAGGTGGCCCGTGTATGCGGAATGGATTTTCCTGCGGACTATTTAAGTACAGTGGTCAACAATAGTCCATAAAACCTTACGGGATGGGCCCTTGGAGCCTGGGGAGGGGCTGGGAATAAAATGGCAAACAAGTCAGAGTCCTGTCGCCTCAGAACTCACAGGTGGCGTGCTAAGGGAATTTCTGCTCCGGGGGGGCATCCATCCCAGTCCTGCCCCAGGCTCCGGACAGGGGGTGACAGCATGTTAGGGCCACCTTTGAATAAGCCCTCAATTAAACTGAGTGCGTTTTTCCTCCATGACCATAGAAATTAAGTCTGATTTTAGTATATGTGCTGCCGAAGTGAGCACTCCTAGAAATTAAGTCTAGTCCTAAGCTATTCCTCCCAGCGTGAAGATGCACTAAACTGTTACTAATTAATGAATGAAGCTATTCCTCCACGTGTTAGACTCCAGTCCTGTTTTGATTTCCGGGACGTTCGCTGACGTGGTGAGGAGCGATTTTGGAAGGCAGCATCTGTGGCGAACAATGGCCGCAAAGCACTGATTTGCTGCTCGGGAGTTAGTTCGTGGGGGTGGTATGGGGGTGGTAGTCTTTCTGACTTTCCAAAAAGGCAGTTAGTTTGGCTTCTCCCCAGCAACGTGCAGACGCGCTGCCCAGTAAGAGGGATGTGGGTCAGCGGGTGTGATTCAGGCCCTGGGGCATCGCACGGGGGCCCCTCGCCGCTCCACGCCTGCTCTTCTCCCGTAAGATGCTGACACTAGCCCTGGCTTCACGGCGCTGGGATGACACAGTGAGATGCTGTGTGAACCCGCTGAGCGCCGTGCCTGGCGTGCACAGAGTGACAATGCCTTGGGTGCCTCTGAGCGTAAATAGCGGGTCCCCTGTTTCTCTGCAACTTGAGAGGCTTCCGTGAGGCCCTTGCTGGGAGCCCCCTGGCGATGCAATTGCAGTTCAGAGGCGGCGTGGCCTGGGTGCGCCAGGCATGAAGGTTCAAACCCACCTGCCCGCTGCGCTGGGAGGGAGCAGGGCCCCACTGTGCCCATCACAGGCGCCCTGGGGGAGGGTCCGGGCTGTGCTGCCCCCCCCCCCCCCCCCCCCCCCCCCCCCCGGGCCC